CAAATATAAAAGACAATCAGAAATAGTACTGTTTAGTTTATTAACATTCATAAACTAATGCAGTCGCTAATTAAGATGACTAACTTTTATTACAAAAAACTGAGACGCTTCAAAGATTTGGCTTAAATATTTTTTGATTTTGAAGTCACAGATGTTTGTTATTTCGATTAGGGGTGACTCAAATTAATGAGTAAAATAAATACAATTATTATTTTGCAGTAACAAATATGCTTTTGTTATGTATCATTATTTGTTTACCTTTTAAACAAAGGGTGAGTACGGAGGTAGAAACCGATTTGTGTTCACAATAAAAATTGCACTTTAAAATTCATCTTCCATTTCCCACCCACCCCAATATTTGAAAGTGTATTTATTTATTTTCCAATTTCCAGCATATTTCAGGTTTGAGTAATAGTAATTAAACAAGACGGCTGAACTTGTTTCTTGAGTTGAATCCTCTCAGAATGTAGGTCAATACACAACTGATGAAATACCTCCCCATAATTAATTTAAAAACCTGATCAAATATGAAACTACTGTATACGCACTTGGACAAGTTATTGTTTTGGAAAAAGCCCACGAGTCCTGATGCTGGGAAGAGATTGGGTTTTAAAAAAACATAGTGCTTATCAAAATCACAAATGGGCATTATGAATTGAGAATAAACATGCAAGAATTCCAACAAAAATGTACAAATATATTTTGTAGAAATATCAAGAAGTTTCAGCAGGCCTATATCAAGTTTTGTGCTAGAGAACTTGAATCACTTAATACTCACAGCTGGTTGGATGTACTGTAGGTATACACTTTATTAAAGTTTGTATAGGACCTTCTTAGTTGGTTTTGGGGTTTGTGTGGGAGAACCAGTAGCTAATACACCCAAGCTGACTGTTAAGAATAAGGCTGCTGAATAATATTCACTGCATTGTATTGACTTATACCAAATTTGTAAAGTTTAAATGGGATCTAGTTGGTAGTATTGATTCCAAGACTTTTTGTTCAGGAAAATCAATGACTAAACAAGCTTTTAGATACTTTTTACAATTCTTCTTTTAAGAACTTTATTCAGGTGTGAATAAAATTCATTACGGTGGGATGGGGCAATTATTTTTACCAACACTTCCACCAATTTCCTCAGAAGTTAGCAGACCAGTGGGTGCCTGGGATAGGAAGAATCAATCACTTGCTTCCTATTAGTAGCTGTTTCTCCTAAGACAGAGGCCTTTATTTTCCCAGAAAGATATTTTGGGATGCCACATGGTGCAAATCAGTTCAAATGTCTTTTTTGAAAAAAAATCACCAGCTGGTACTGTCTTTGGATGATTAGACTTGGTGTCTGTTCAAACACTATAAACAGCAGCAGGTTCCTAATTTCTTCCTGCTAAATCTAATGTGTGGTAGGGTCAATTGAGCATTTTTTTTACTGTCCAGCGCCACCACAAACAGATTTACAAGGTAAGCTTCAGCTCTAGGTACACTAACAACTTTTCTAGATCCTACCTAACTCCTTATATAATTGTGGCAGCCTCTTCTTATACAGGTAGTCCTTGACTTACCACAGTTTGCTTACTGACCATTCACAGTTACAACGGCACTGGGAAAAAAAACACATGACCATCTTTCACATTTATGACCATTGCAGCATTCCCAGGGTCATGTGATCAAAATTCGGAGGCTTGGCAACTGACTCGTATTTATGACAGTTGCAGTGTCTCTGGGTCACGTGATCCCCTTTTGCGACCTACTGACAAGCCAAGTCAATGGGGAGGACAGATTCACTTAACAACCTTGTTACTAACTTAATAACTGCAGTGATTCACTTAACAACTGAGGCAGGAAAGATCGTAAAATGGGGCAAAATTCACTTAACCAGTGTCTCAGTAACATAAATTTAGGGCTCCATTGTTGTCATAAGTCTAGGATTACCTGTACATGGAATTGAAACTCCACTCCTAAAGTTCTTGAGGGGCATGTTGAGAAATACCAGGTTTGTATCAAAGGAAAATTAATTAATTAAAAATTAATTAAGGCTGGCAATATCATGCCCAAGTGTCTCTTGCCACAGTTGGAATCAAAATCCACCTCTTTCTAGATTTTGCTTTCTTAAAAGGGAGAAACCAAGTGTTTGCAAAATAGCAGCATAAACTATATTCATCTACGTATAACAGCGGCTCGGAAATAAAATGGATAAGCTATTGTCATGATTTATCTAGCAAACTATGGGTGTACGTTATGGGATTTAGCATCTTTTAACTCTGAAAGCTTTTTAAGAAAACTGCTTCTACCACAGTCTCAAACTGGTTTGGGGCTTCCAAGGAATTGGAGTGGTAATGGTCCATATTTTTTTTAGAGCTTCACATAGGCAGAATCATTTTTTTTCTATAAGCCTTGCTCTTTATTTGACCTGTGCTCAACTGTAGTGCTGCAAAGTCAGAGAATACATACAATATATAGATTATCGTTCCATAATTAAAAGTAAGTGATAGAGTTATTTTTTTGCCTAACCTTAACTCCAATAGTTCATTTTATTCAAGGGATTCCCATACACTTATCATTTTCAGGGATCATGAAACCACACAGGTTGTGAATCTTTGCCTCTTCCTATGTACAATCAACATGGCATTCTACATCAATAATATTCCCAGTTCAGGGAATATTTGATTTTCCTGGGTTTATTAGGTATATTATTTTGGTATGAAATATATATCGTTGTTTTGTCTCATTTTACGTACTGTGGAAGTTCAAATGTTAGAATAGCCTTGAAGATTTTAGTTTGTAAAAGTTTACGAACAGAGGGTTGCAAGTCTTTACAAATTTATAACTTCTATTTCAAGTTCAAATTGGATTCCCCGACGTTACCGTGATACGATACTAACTCAATCTTGTATGGGTTCCACGGAAGTTATTGCTGCCTTATCTTACATTTGTTGACAGTATGTTCTCCCTATAACTAGGGCTTCTCACAAGTAACCTGCAAAAAATAGCAGTCTTATTTGTATTTTAACAAGAAACATTTTATCTTGGCACTTATTTCAAGTACTACTGAATATTCAATCTATTCTCCAAAGGACTTGAAGGCAGGACAAGGGTAATGGATAGAAACTAATCAAGGACAGAAGCAACCTAGAATTAAGGAGAAATTTCCTGACCGTTAGAACAATTAATCAGTGGAAGAACTTGTCTCCAGAAATTGTGAATGCGTCAACACTGAAGAAATTGGACAACCATTTTTCTGAAATAGTATTAGGTTTCCTGCCCGAGCAGAGGATTGGACTACCTTCCAACTCTGTTACTCTGTTATACTTCCAAAGTTATGGATTGGGAAGTGCTACTTTGGGTGTAAGTTTTGCATCTTATACCCTTTCACCCTTACATTAACTTTTCTGCTTTTCTTTAGCATAATATTCTCTGCTGCAGGCAAGCACTATGAAATGAAGCAGAAAATCACTCTAATGTGGATCAGATGAATCAGAGGTCCTTACATAACTAAATGCATTTTCGCAGATGGCACAGAATCCTTTAAAAAGATACTTCAGTTGTTAAATGAAATTTAGAGTGACATCTAAAATTGTTCTTTCAGCTCTGTAAAATTCTTCATCACATCCCAAATTATATTAAAGAACATTTACGTGATGGGAACTATTCTGGTGCTCTTTAACCAATTTTGCTGAGAAGCATAATAATCCAGAAAACAGTCCACATTTAATGCCAAAGAAGAAATAGGCCTCTGTGTGCAACCTTTTTTTTTTTTTTCCTGCAGTTCTATTTGTGCAGGAAGGGGAAGGGGAATTGCATGAACCAGACCAACCCTTCTTTATCACCCTCACTTTCCTCTGTTCAAAAAAAGTTACAGATCCGCATTGGAGAATCTGATGTGTCTGGAAATGTATCCCAGCATTTTCAAACTAAGCAGCACCGAATTACATGAAGGGCCTACAAGGAGAATAGGCTTCCCAGGAAGGCATTCCATTCTCCAATATGTTGGGGATGAATTGGCACATGGAGAGAGCAAGCCATGAGCAGAGAAATTAGTGTTATGTGGGCTTACCCATCAATATTTATTTTACTTTTGCAAGCTAGCAAAAATATTGCTTTCCATTCTTTCTGAAGCCCTAGGCATATATTATCAATGCTCAATTGAATCTACCTGTGCCATTTTTTTTTGACCGTGTAAGCATATTCCCAAACAGATCTTCCATGCCTCATTTTTATTTACTAAAAATGCTGATGGAAACTAAATTCTGTTTTAACTTGAAGCATATACCAGCTTCCTTACTAATTTTGACAATAAAATTACAGATTAAAAAAATGGAAGGGAGCGGAGGCTCTTGTTGGTACCATGTGATGTTTTAACACAGAGAAAACTTGTTGCATTTGACTTGGAGTGAAAAAGAAATCATGTGTTTTCAGAAATATTCAGTCTGTCCATATTTTGAGGTACTCAAACAAATGTCAAAATCTGCTTTTTGAGCACAGCATTTGTGAAACCTGTTCAGTGTCACTCCTAAGCCTATGGAATACACCTTTTCAATCTTCTCTTCTGGGTTTCAGGAAAGAGTTTGAGGCCTTTCTCTTCCGCTGCATCTTATTAGTCATTTTAATAGTATTAATGGTTTTAAATTTTAAGCATTTTTAAATCTTTATTTATAGCATATTGAATACTTGATTATAGAAAGGATACAACTTGTAGGATTTTTTAAAATAAAATTTCTGAAAAGCTATCCTATTCCAGTGCCATTAAAAACACAAAACTCATGGAATCCAGTCCTTCTCGAAAAAATTACTCCTAACAGGAGTTTGCCAAGTTTTTGATTTTTTACTCACTAAATCAATAAGAAAAGATATTTTTCAAAATATCTGGGTAGTATTAGCACTGGGGTTTTAATCAAATAAACTAAAGTGTGGTTTGTGCATAGGCTCAATATAATTTATTAAAAATTGCTGAAGGAAAAAAATAGCAGGCCAATACCAATACTGGCTAAATCACCCAAATAAGAAAATGCTTTGGTTCCACCATTTATTTTACCATCATAATAAAAAGTAATCTGAATTAGGACAAAGCTTTCCCAAATTGTAATAAATTACTTGAAATGCTGTCATGCAGCAAAGCTGTCATCCAGCAATACAATTTAACACCACCCCACAAAAGTCAATGGGATTTCAGCTAATTACATGCGTAACTGCAACCCAAGCAACAGTCTTTGTCCGTTTCAAAGCCTTGTAATGTCCGTTCTTTTGTAATGCAGTCCGTGTTTTAAAAGGCATGTTTTGGGCGATAAGATTAGGAGAGAAGAGACTGAACTTGATGAGGAGATCTATGTAATATAGTTTCCGGATCTTTATAAGCATTATCAGGATTCATCACAGCTGCATACAGTTCAGTGTAAGCTCGGCAGATCAGTTCTGTGGACTGTTTTATTATCTGTTGTCTAAAACACAACCAGAATTAGACATGTAGATATACAACCGATGATAACAGAATAAACATAGAAAGTGCCTTGATGAGTGAGATCCTGTCCCCTTTCTTTGTAGGAAGAAAAAATGAAGGTCATCCTAATAGCTCCCTGCCTCTATTCCCTGAAAATGAATACAACCTCTTCCAGGAGGCAGAAGGCAGATGCTCTTGGGCAGCAACGGCAGGATGGCCTGAGGGTCTACACCAGGGGTCGCCAACCTTTTGGACCTTAGGGACCACCAAACTCATAATTTTAAATCCCGCGGACCAGAGATCCTGGGAAAATCCCAAAACAAGTCTTCAGGAAAATTCCCCACCCCGTTTTCCCACCGATCAATCATTTTTTATTTGGGATCGCAGGATACGGTTTCCAGCTCCGTTCTCAAGGGGAGAGAGAGAGACTTTTGGCTTCATTTGGCTTCATGATTCTCAAGGGGAGAGAGAGAGAGAGACTTTTGGCTTCATTCAAGGAAAGCAGCAGAAGTAGCAGAAGTCTTTCTCCCCCACCCCCAAACTCTGCCAGAAATGAGTCTTTGCTGGCACAGCCTCTTGGAGCAGGATGCCTTGCAGGGTCCCAAAGACTCATTTCTGGCTGAGTTTGGGGGAGAGAAAGACAGACTTTTGCTGCTTTCCTTGTGTGCAGCCAAAAGCAGAAGAAAGAAGTGGAAAAAAGCAGCCTGGTGGCCAGGCGAGGCATGTGGGGCGAGTGGGGCAAGTCCCCGCCTCCGCCCTTTCCCCCCACTCTCCTCACTACCTCACGTTGTTCGCAATGCAAGCGACACAAGCCTTGTGTTCCCGGGGGCCACGTGGGCAGCACAGCCTTGTGTTCCCGCACAGCCTGGATTAATTGCTTTGGGGGTGACATTTCTCTGAGGACCACCAAAATTTTCTTGCGGACCACCAATGGTCCCCAGCCCACTAGTTGGCAACCACTAGTCTACACAATGCAAAGTTATGTGATTTCTGGGACCAACTTCTTCCCCCAATTATTTGGCAGCAGTGCAAAAGTTGTGCCTTGACCTCTGAAACAGCCACAAGGTGTAAGTCTTTCTTTTATGAATTTTTATATATCCACACCTTTTAATGATGATGATGGAAATAAACTGTAGCACTCAGTTTAATCATTCTTCTGGGATTGCCTCCACACACACACACACACTCATCTCCCTTTTCTATACTGGTACAGTATACAATTTGCAGCTGAACATGTGGATGCAGCCCCTTTATCCCTCAAACAACTGGTAAGATTAAAAGAGCTATGCAAGCAAACACAAAAGATGGCTATAACCAACTTCCTGGCAAAATTACTGCAGGACACCCATTGAAAAGAACAGTCTTTCAGCCAAACAATGTCTTTCCAAAATGGTCCTGCTGCCTGCCTCACATAATAAATTCACCAACTGTGAATCAGTAAGCTGTCATCCTGCAGAGTATCGGCCAGTCAAGGGCACTTTAAACATGCTTAGTCCTCAAATTAGCCCCCTCAAGTTTGAGCCTGTGCCTGTGATTCTTATGTACATCACATGCAAAGGAAAACAATGAATTCTGATTCTGTGAAAGAAAGGAAAAAAAGAAACATTTTACTTACTTAACGGCTGTGCTCAGGAGAAAGTTTATCTGTGGCATTAACAGGCCATCAGGAGCAGACAAATAACGATCAAACTGGACCTGTCACATAGAGAAGGGCAGGTATTAGTCAATGTGTTGTCCTCAAAAGATAGGCCCACTGCTCAGAAGCCAAGAATTAGGCCCAAACACTCTCCAAACGTATTCTAATGCTCCAAGGAAGGGAGAATCTGGATGCAGAAAAAGTCCACGACTTCCTATATATCTTAGCCAAAACTAAGCTGTAGAATGGAGATGTTTCCCACTAGCCCAACACTTGCACTGGGCAGCAATCATTTGAATGAGGAAAGGGGGTCAGTCCAGCCTTATCTTATTCTTCTGCTTTCTGCTCTCTTCTCATTTGCCTCATTCTAGTTACCGCTCCTCGCTACATGGGTTAATTTCCTCTCACAGAAGAAAAAAAATCCCTGCTCCTTGATTTCATTCCTTAAAGTTTATAGATGTCAATTGGGTTTTTTTTCCAATTTGAATTAAATTAACAACAGCTGTCAAACTTAGTCCAACTTTTGCCTTAGAATGCAATTTCTGAAGTCTCTCATGTTATAAAACACTACCAAATGTACTATATCAAAATAACTTATCTGAAAAAAAAAACTGCTATGAAAATGAACATGAAATTTGAATCAATGTCATGTCCTCCTTAACATCACACGAAATTTTCTTGTTCTGTAGTGGGTTAACTAGAAACGAATAAAGAATTAAATTCTAAAATTCCTTTACATTACAGTGAAATATTACACACTCCTGGATTTCCATTATTTATTAAACTCACAGACCAAAAACAAAAACAAAAAATCCTGAACTGACCTTTAAGAACACCTGGCTTCCTTTTTGCTTTTTTCCTTTCCCTTATTTCTAAAATTTTAGATCGGAAACACCTTGGAATACAAATTTGTCCTCTTACATCTAGAGGAGCATTTTATAAACAGTGACAACACAATGACAAAGAAACTAAAACACCCACTCTCAAAATCCTATCCCAGTTTCCCCCACTTCTCTTGTATAACACAGCTGAAAATGATTTATCTCACCATTGCAGCTTTTAATGACATAGAATCCATACTGGGTACATTAGCCAAGGGACCCTAAAATTAAAGGAGTGGTAAATACAGGAATAATTACACAGAATCAGTGTTTTAATAAAATCAAACCGAAAACCATTTTTCAACAAACCCTAAAACTGTAGCATGCTATGGATATTTATGGAATCATGCAATGATTATAGCGAATGAATTTTGGAGAGCGCAAGTGCCACAAATCTCGAGATCAAATTTTGAAGTTAGTAACTTACTTATCTGGTGAAAGAAAACCAAATTAAGAGACAACTAAACAGACAACTATTGACTTTATGGAGGACAACTGATATAGAAGTCCACTGACTAATAATTTTTTTGTGGGTCTTATGGAACAAGAGTATGATTTTTTAAAATTCCTAAAGCAAAATAAAATGTGAATAAGATACAGTTTAAAAGAGTGAGGGGAAAGATTATCATTCAGGCAATTTGTGAAAATTTAGAATGTAGGGCGTGTGATCAAAATTCTAGATGATCTAAACTGGGAGAACAGGCAGACCTCCTAATCACCCAGTTTTAAGGTCAGAGAAACACATTACTTACAGTAGCCTGAACCACTTTATATTACTATAGTTATATAATTCTGTAGTACGACTTATTAAACAAATCAGCAAAAGCAAAATTGAGTATATCCCAATCAAAAAACTCTATCTTATGAATTACAACGTTATACTGTTTTTTCACAAGGTGGCTTGGTGCTCTAAAACTAAAATAATGCTTTTCTTTTCATTATTCAAAAACTGCCAAGGACACCAGTAATCACTGCTTATCTTTTTGAATGGGAGGTTAAAAAAACCCCAATATGAATATTACAAAGTAAATTCCTGGTCATGTGTCGGTTAACTAAATGGAGAGAAGTCTACCTAATACAAGTTAAAACTTTAAATAAAACTCCACCCACTGAAATCCAATCTATTCTTTTTACACTACAGTTGTGTCTTTTTCAGATAGGTCAGGCAGGGTCTCATGACTACGTTAAAAACATATTTGTTGACATTCTTTTGAGGTCTCCTAAAATCTTATGAATAATCTATCTTCCTCCAGTGTGTTTAAGATTGGGTCCATTTGGTGTTACTTTTTATTAATTATATCAATAGATGATAGATAGATAGATAGATAGATAGATAGATAGATAGATAGATAGATAGATAGATAGATAGATAGATAGATTAGATAGATAGATAGATAGATTATTAATAGAATTATTAATAATTCTACCTGTAAGTCTGATTTCATTTTGGCTGAAGAAGAACTTTTAAGAGTATGAAAATGGAAACTATATTACCCAAACTAATTTTGATAACATGAAATTGGGTATTGTCTCTCACCAAAATTTCAAAAGTCTTAAAATATTTGTGTTCAAACAAGAACTTGCTTGGTTATTGATTCTGAAATTCTGAATTATATTTATCTCAATATGTTAAACTTTGCCTCAGTAAAACCGTAACCTTAATATCTCCTGTTTCTCACCCATGCTTATGCTAACGTAGAGAGAAATGCTCTATCATTGTTCCTATAAAAGAGCATGAAGATAACTCATTGATGGAGGAATGTAAGAAATATTAAGAGAAAATGAATAACAACTCAGTTCTAGAACAGGAAAAGCGTAAAAAACAAATACAAGATAGCCCAGTCATAACTGTTTTGTTTAGTGTTAAGAAGAGGGTAAGGAAAATTCCTGGTGGCTTTCAAGATTTTGTCATCATGTTAATAAAGAAAAATAACATTCCTGAAATCTTCGTGAACTCTGTATGCTTTCCTCACTTGGCCTACTTTGAAGGGCTGATCCTTGCACTGTAATGTACTTGATTGCATTTGACTCATAATAAATAAAGTAGCCAGAAATAGATAGCCTCCCATTAGGCCATGCTTACAAGTATGATGAATGTACCAACAAGTCAGGATTCTAAGCTGAATTGAAAGAAATGATTGTACATTTGCAATGACATATGTAAACTTATTTGGATATATTAGCGAAGGATGAAAGAACAAAAGTAGTGAAAGAAACAGAGTGAAAGTAGAATACTGCAGGAAGAAAAAAGACAAGCTGTGTGGATTGGAAGCTACGTAGAAGATGGGCAGTTATATTGTTTTAAATAAATAAACCAACAAATAAGATAATCTCCCCAAAGAATGAAAATTGGTACAGGGGAAGTGGTTACAGAATGCTATTTATTTAGAACAGACACAAAACCGTTATGCTACAGAATGCCTCAGGTCCATAAGTGTGAATGTTAAAAAGAGTTTATTTTTATTTTATTTTATTATAGAAAAAGCAACGGGCTTGAATTATGGAAAGTTTTTTGTGAGTGTGGAGTTGAAGGCTGGTTGTTAAACTTCCATGATGGAAATTAAATATCTATGAACATATATTGAATGTTTAGAGAATGGTTTAATATTGAGTAGGATATACACAAGAATAGAGGATGTCCCTTTAATTGTTTAAGATATTTATGGATAAACATATAAAGAATGCTTGTAGCAATGGAACAAATGTGTTTGTAGGGGCATGAATATACGTGCAATTTGTACGCAACTACAATGTTAGCTGAGGACTCAAAATTATTTCTAACAAATCTGGAGAAATGCTTATTATTACAATGGAAAAATCTATAGAAACATTGTACTATATGTGAATTTTAGCAGAAAGACAGTAGACCATATGTGGCCAGATGTAAGGAATGAATGTTTATCAAAAGAAAAATGACTGTGTATAAGAGCATGGGACTTCCATGAAGGAAAGGAAAAAGCCATGCAACTTATAGTTGGGTGGCACTGATGAACTCCTCAAAAAGGAGAGAGGAGTAAGGAAAAGGTAATGTATTACTATACGTATGAATATGCTTCAAACAAGAATAGTTGGCAGCTCTGAAAACATATGGAGAGTTATAATGAATTGTTTTGGTATAAATCAAATTTAGCTCTATTTTTTCCTTCTTATCTCATGCCTTTAGTTTCTTTGGCTTACTATTTCTTACGCTCTTTCTGGGTTTTGCAAAATATCGCTTGCCATATGAAAGGACATAGTATCATGGGTTGTGCATGTTATATAATTATAGCCATGCGCATAACAACTCCTTTTTGAAACTAAGGCTTTCAGAAACAATTATCCTTTCTGCTAAAGAAAAAGAAACCAGAAATTCTGAAGTATCTCTTTAGATCTCAACTAAATATAGTAGACTTACATTTGCAGTTCAGGGTATCTGATTGAATGGGAATATTGGCTGAACAGCTAAAGGAGTTTCCAAGTAACACAAATATGCAATCAAAAATAAGCAATCCAGTAAGACTTACTCAGTGCTTTGACAGTATTTGCAGGTCATAATTGTCTATTAGATAGCTAAGAAACAGAGTTATTTGGCTAGTGTGCTGTATATTCCATTGGCTCCTTCCAGGAATAGGAAGAATGGTGTATCTTCTATCCATGCTTTTAAACCATTCCTAATGTGTGAACATGTTATTCAAATCTAGGATGATGGGGATGGTAGCAAGTTTCTTACCCATGATTATATTTTGCAGTCTAAAGAAGTTCACATGAAAAGCTTAAATGTTAGGCAAAACACATAAAAAGAGACTTGTCAGAAATGTGTATTGATATTGATAGCTTCCAAAATTATCGCTTACCTGCTCTGTCTTGTGTTGCTGTACCATGTTATAAATATAACTTAGACCCACTCTAGTTAATACATAAGATGCTTGTTCATTTATAAGGGTATCCAAATGTGCTTCAATCTAAAATAAAGACAGTGAATTTTTCACTTATTGCAAAGTATTTAACAATTATCATATGTAATTTATTAACTTTAAAAAAACTGGTAATGAGTTTGTGTAAGTTACATGCCATGAGTCTATGGCTATGTAAATTCAATATCCCAGCTAGATGTTTATGACATTCTGAATTGTACTATTTTTTTCCCCCAATCATCCCACAAAGTGGCATTTTGCACAAACTGACTAGCCAGATAAGATAATTCCATAACAAAAAGTTTTTTGGCTCTTGTGTTTGGAGATGAAGCAAGCGTTAATGAAGAATGCACATTCTTTCATTATAAAATGCAACAAAATTGTTAAATTAATTGCCAAAGAAGAAATAAGAGGCATACATACAGTACATGATAAATTGTATTTTTCATCAATGGACATAATCTTTTATCAAAACCCATTCATGTTCAGCTTGTAACCTTACTTGTAAATGACTGCTATTCTCCCAAATGAATGAGAAGTATGTTTTAGATTCAGTATTGAGAGCAATTCATCACATCTATTTATTATTTTTAATATCACAACAGGCTCTATTTGGATACTATCTTCGTTTATTTAGCCGATTCTATTGTCTACATAGGTAGCTTCCTATCTTTGCATTTTGTCTTGGAAACAACAATTAAAATTAGGGAAGGGCAAACTTTGTGCATCAAGCAGCTGTTTTGAAATACCACATGCCCAGGTTGAAATATGCATGCGCGTATGTGTAGATATATATATCTATACACACACACAGACACACATATACATATACACACACACATGTATGTATATAAAACAAAATGTGGGTGTTTTGTTCTGGGTAAAAGCTGAAATAATTACTTTGGTGGAGCGGGGAGTTCAGTAAGAGCAGGATAAAGGCAAGGCCCAACGTTTCCTTGCTGACATCATCGGGGAGGGAGATCAAGATGGTATTGGGAAGATTGGGGTGTAAAGAGACTGGTGGGATTTTCTGTGCCCAGCTATCATTAGCAGCTGAGAGGAGACAGAGAACGTGTAAAAGAGTACAGAGATGGCCAGCAAAACATAAATATCAGCTTAGCTCTTTAAGAGACCGTGGGATTAAGGGAAAAAAAAACCTGTCAATTGTCCTCTAGATTCTCTTTAGTGTAAGAAGGGACAGAATCCTTGTCAGGCTTTTAAGAGAATGTTATTGGATCTTATTGTAAAGAATCAGGGAGATGACCTTAAGGAAAATAGGCAAGAACTGTTACCTAAGCAAAAACAGTAGGAATATTCTTTAAATCCCAGGAAACGAGATGGAAGAGTCTCAGGTAGACTTCTTCCTGATTCACTGGGCTATAAGAGAGTGAATAAAGCATACTCAGGATGAAGCATAATCGTGTTTTTAAGATTCTGTTACTATATTTTATCTCAGTGAAGTACAGCCTTACCCTCCCTTTGGAGTCTGATCTACCCCAAGGGCTGACACCTTAAAAGTAAAGCAAGGTGCCAATTGCTCGTGTGATGTCTGCTTTCTGACACCGTCTACTGCAAGGGTTGGCAGGAGGGAAGCCTGGATTGCAAGAGAGTGAAGATAAATCACTTGGAAGAAGTTGGGGTGGGGTGGGGTGGAAGATGTGCCCTAATCTTGTGCAATTATTAATTGCAAAATAACACTAGGATCCTTCTAGGTTTTATTTCACCGAAAACCAAACCTCCACTTTGTGTTTTTTTTTGACAATGAGACATTTAATCAGAACTTTTAGGACATAGTAGTTCATTTGGTTTAATCATGACTAAAACAAAGGAAGAAACCATGGCACTGCAAGCTAAAAACTTGTTTGCATCTTGGCTTAATAGAGTGCTAAAATGTGATTTTATAATGTTAATTTTAGGATAGACAGAACCAGATAAACCCTGTGATTCAACCATCTGCCAAACACAGCTCAATGATACCTGCTCCTCCCACCTATCTCATAGCTGGAGCTAGAAAAATCTAGGAATTTCATCTAATTACAATATAAATGTTTAAAAATCAAGAAATCATCTAGTAAATTATCCCCTGGATAGCAACTGTAATTTATGTGTGCTGTCATTAAAGAAAAAAAAAACCAGCTTGCAAATATGGCTCAGCTTTTTACGTTTCACTGCTTTGCTGCATGGGGTTCTTAACCCCCATTAATGATTTTTTTGTGGCTGCATGCACCAGAGTGTTTACTTTAAATATAAAGCTGTGAGGATACACACATTTAAGAAGATTGTGTTGTATTTATTCCCTGTTAATGGTTAATGGCAAAGAAAACATCAGAAGATTGACTTTGGACATTTACCTGGTATTGTAACATTTCTAGCCTTTTATCTGTGAATTCAAACAGAGCCAGCATTGTCTTCATCATATGAAGTGAATTCACCATGAAGGTTGCCATGTCAGCAGACCCCAAGTTACTGGCAGACATAGTACACATCTGCAACAGAGGATCCAGCACACAAGACAGAACCTAGAAGAAAGCAGGAAGAGCAATAGACTGCCTCAGAGCAACCCTTGGGTATTTTCCCACTTCTATTACTCCCCAAAAGAAGGAAGCTAATGTTGAAAAAAAAAATTGATGGCTTTTGAAAACCATTTCAGATCTTATAAATAAGCACAGCCAGCCATTTGCTCTTCTAATTTCACCTTTCAATCCAGTGTGTTTGCCAGCCGCTTATGCAACCTCTTCTACATTTAGTCATGCTTTATTTGTTAATGTCAGAAAAGGATATTGCATGGGAAAGTTGCGTAGGCATAGCCAGCCCAAAGCAGAAGTGGTAAAAACATAGATAGCTGATGATGCTTGTTGGTGATGGTGAGGCTTGCAGTGTCCAAGCTATTCTGGTTGGTGTGTGTGTGTGTGTGTGTGTGTGTGTGTGTGTGTGTGTAGCTTGAGGGAAGATTCGAGTTGCAACACTGCAGTTTTAATGGTAAATATTCAAAACAACTACGTACTCATTCAGCACAGGGACAACAGAGGCTGCTTGCCAAAAAAAGGGGGATCCTCTTCCCCTGTTGGAAAACTCAACAAACATCCACCAAGTTTGTCTTTTTAAGATAGGTGGGCTTTCCCCATTTTGAATGGAGTCAGCATGTTTCTTCTAAAACTTGAATAGTGGGTCATCATATGACTGACCTAATCTTAACCACTTTTTATTTTGAGGTGTTAAACAAACCATCATGGTCATTAAGTGAACCTGTGGTTGTTGAGCGAATCCCGAGACTGTTAAGCAGACCTATTGTTTGCTATAGGATGTTTTGGCCAAAAAACCAAAAACGCTAATTTCTGGCAAAAACAAAAAAACTATTAAATCAGTGCGAATGACAGTGGGATGCTGCAAACACCTATAAGTTTAGGCCAGGTGTCAAGCACCCAAAATATGCTCACATGATTGGAGTGGCGGCGGTTGTAACTCTGGAACTGGGTTTTAAGTTACCTGGGGGAGGGGATCTGTTGTAACTTGGAACAGTCGCCAAGCAACTGGTCGTATGTCAAGGACTATCTATAAGCCAATTTACAGAACTTAAAATTCTTAGAAAATGACAGTATTAAACCAAATCGGCAAAATGTACTTCAAACAATTTTGAAGACAGACTATTTCTTGGGGGGGGGCGGGGAGGTCAAATACGTTATTAATTCTAGAGACTCTATAATTTAGTTTTCCAAATGAGCTTAGAAAAGTTAGCATCCACCAACCAATGCCTGTGCTGTATTATTCTACCAAGAGATGGAAGGGAGCCAGATCTCCTAGGTTATAGCAGGGGAGAGGCTTATAGCTCCCCTCCTGAGGTTAGGGGACAGAGAGAGAATTGCAGAGTATTGGAGGAGCCTGTTCTCTGCTTTTGTAGCCAGAGAGGCAAGCTTGGCATTTAATTCAATTTAGTTCCTTGGTGAGACTAGCAAATACAGCCAAAGATTAAAGAAAGGATTAACTACTACCACTGATCAAATTTTAGGCAGCTTCCTTTTTTGAGAGAGAAGTAACATATAAAATTTGAAATATTGGAACAAACGCTGCCATTTTTTCCACATCCTTAGTGAAACCATTGGGAATTAGCAGGATTACGTTCATACACATAAGATGAAATGAACATTAATTTACTTGTCCAAAGTCTGTTTGACGAGTATCCAAAGGAATAACGCAAGAGTCATGGGATGATAGTACTTCACGCAGCAGAGCAAGTGTTTGATTCAGTGCATGACTTGGACCAAGGTCTGCAGGTGGCAGTTCAACCTAAAAAAGAAAGCAGGCTATCTGAGTTCAGAAGATGTGTTTTATTGAAGCCTACATACACAGAAGAACAGAATAGTAATCAAAAACTCCATAAATAAATCTATTATGGTTTATTAGAACAACGTTGTCCAATCTGGTGTCCTTTGTTCAGAATGTAAGTCACCTAATAGTTGGGTTGGGAAATATATAAACCAGGACAGACATTTTAATACTGTCTCTTTAAGGGAATGCTAAAAGTGTAATTGGGTGTGGTTCATCAAACGGCCATAAGACGGAGCCAGAAACCTGGGTTGTTTAGTTCCTGTTCTGGTGTTTCTGGAGTGTGTGTTTGAGTCTCAGAAGAGAGTGTGAATGAGTCTCTGTTTTCCTTCTGTTGGAGAGTATTGCCATTCCTCCTAATTGACTGTTATTCTTGGATTTGATGTAAGTCTGTTACTGAACTGTTTTTGATACTGGACTTTGTTATTGGATTATCCCTGAACTGAAAACTGACTGCTTTACCTGTGAATGACTTGGACTGCTTGACTTTGCTTAAACGTTTATGGGAAGTAAAAACCTACATTTACTGTACAGTGTATCTGTGTGATGCGTGTGTGTTATTCTTCCCTACTCTCACAATGTCTCCCTGTATGCGCTCATTCTCCTAATGGGGAATTGCCTCAACATCCTTTAAAAGATTTGGGCTTCAACTGTAATCATTTCCAGTTCATGTCACCTTTCAGTTTGGGAAGACAATGAGATATATAACATGAAAACGGTTACGCACACTTGTCTATTTACAATTTTTGTAATCTACTCCAATCCAAAGACTTTGGTCATCACCTAGACCAGGGGTCTCCAATCTTGGCTGGGGAATTCTGGGAGTTGAAGTCCTCCAGGCTTAAAGTTGCCAAGGTTGGAGACCCCTGACCTAGACAAGCAAATCTGAATTTTTTAAGCTAGCATGAAACCCAGAAGGTTCCAGATTGCTGAAAATAAATTACAACTTTCAATATGTCAGCAACAATCCTTCCACCCCCATCTATTTTGAAAGAAAAAAAAAAGCCATGTTGCCAATGACAGCCAATCAGGTTCTGACACGCCTTCAAAAAGCCCATTCCAAACTGCTCTTTCTATGGGTGCCACCTCTGTAAAAGTGGTGGCTAGAGTGTAGAACAGAATGGGAGAACAGGATAGATAAGACGTGTGACTGACAAGCGTGCTGATCGACAGAAGAAGCAAAGGTATGTAATGCAAAATAAGTGAGTTTGGGGATCACTTCTCAGTAAAGCACAGATCAGGTTTCCCAAACTATTGAGCAAAGGATTTGTTGGTGATTAAGACTGAGAAATGCAACTCTGAAGTCAACCTTTTGTAACCCTATATATTTAGCAAAAGAGTATGTATGTAAACTCACCTTATCCAGCAGTTTACTCGCATGGAGACTCAAACTGTTGAAGAATATCTTTTTGCTCAAAAGGTGCATCTCTTCTATTGTAGTTAACAGCATAGCTGCACTGTTTCCTATAATATTACTGAAATTGAAGATAAAAAGCATGCGTGTGAGAAAGGAAATAAGAGATTTTATTTGACTCGGGGATTTAGCTGGTGCAACTATTCCATTTGGGAAGAGAATTTAAAACAAAAAGGCATTTATATTTTTAAAAACGTCACGCCTTGCAATAAAGAAAAGTTGTCCCTCCCCTCAGTTCTTCCTTTCTGTGTTTCTCAAGAGCCAGAGGGAAGTTCACCCTGGGAAAACTACTATGTCACCATGAAGCAAGACCATGACTGAAGCCGGGAGAAAGTTGCCATGGCAAAAAAACATAGTAAGCAGCACCATCTCTATTTCAAGCTGAAGCAAAATCTGCTCGCCTTTGAACAGATTTGAAGGACACTGAGGCAAATGACCACCCCCTCAGAAATTCATGAGGTAAAAAACAAAGTCCCTTTTCTTCTCAGAAAAAAAGAAAAGCAGGACATAATCAGTGTAGAATTTCAGATCTGAACCAAAAGGGAGGCTTTTTTTTATTATTATTTTCCTCCAAGCGCATGGTCTGCTTTATCCTCCCACTGGATCAACCACGTGTGGATCAAGTGTATTTCCATTGGTCGTGACCAGAAATTGACCAACTGGCTTGTCACCCGAACCTTATATAATAGGATGAGAACAGAATGAGTGTCCCAAAGCCACCCAGCTAGCTTGAACTCACAGTCTCTGGGTTTCTAACCTGGTGCTTTAAACCACTAACTCAAACAGCTCTCTAAAACTCCATCCTAAAAGTCTGCCTTGTTCAGTGATACAGGAATATATTTTATACTATTTGCTAAATTGATCAGTTGATACCTAAGCGCTCCCCACCATTCTCCTCTTAGAGGCCTCTCCTAGAAGGCCATAGAGAAGCTGTCTTTTCCCAAATCCCCTAGGCCTATCTCCAATTCAATGGGAGATAGAAATAGATGGCAACAGTGAAGTATCTAATGGGATTATCCAGTGAGGTTCCATAAAGTTCAATATTGTCACAGATCAGTGGTGGGATTCAAAAAATTTTACTACCCATTCTGTGGGCATGGCTTGGTGGGCTTGGTCAGGTAGGCATGGCCATGTGAGTGGGTGGGCATGGCTTTTTTCTTTCTTGCAGCCACCCCCCCCCCATTTTTGGGGCCTTCTGGACCTCAGAGGTGCCTCGGGGTGTGTGTGTGGCATTTTTGCTCCCAGAAGGCTCCTCTAGGGCTCAGGAAGGCAAAAAATGGAGGTTTTTCCCTCCATTTTTTGTCTTCCTGGGCCTCAGGCAAGAGGAATCCCGGCACAGCTGATCGTATGAACAGCAGATTGTCGGGGGGGGGGGAGAAATACCTTAAGGGGCGAGCGTCGGGCGGGCGGGGCAAGCGAGCCAGTGGCAACCAGGTTGGGGGCATGGCCAGCCAGAACGTATTACCAGCTTGGCAACTCACACCAAAGCCTTGCTATCGGTTGGCCCGATCCAGTGCAAACTGGCTGAATACCACCGTCACAGATGCTGTTTAAATCTGATCAGAAACTAAGCACTGATGGCATCAAGCTGTGTCACAAGAGAACATCTTTCCTCAATGCCAGATGTTACATTACAAAGCAGTATAGTGACACTGTGTTATACTGCAATGTAACCATGGAACACAACCAGTTCTTCCCAAAACTATTTTTTAAAAAGTTTGCTTACCTAATGGTGTGATGATAAAATTTGAGAAGATTAGAAATTTTATACAGAAGGACTGCGCCAGGTTCAGCTATAATCACCTGTTCAATTCGAACCTGAGGAAACATTTTAAGAACATACTGTTCAAATATAGACTTCATCTTCAAGAAAATAACGATGTACAATTTTAAGATTATAGTGTTCCTTTTAAGGCTAGCAAGCTCTTCAGGGATATATTCTAAATCCTGCAGATCCGTTATTCCATTTTGTTTCTTATAATAATGAAAGATGAAATCTCCTTGGGAAATAAGAAATCAAAAAGGTTCCTTTTCATGCAGGTAAATATGTTATTATTTGTAAACTGCTTTTTCGTTCCTTGTTTCTCAATACATGGAGCTGATGCAGTTTTAATACCAAGAGCTTTCATAAAACCAAATATTTCACCTTGAGTGGCCGGCAAACACCTTCTGTGATGTGCCCAACTATTTCTTGCATATTTTCTTCCACTCCTGAAAATAAAAACAGTGTATGTTAGAAGTAGGAATGTTAGTTCCTGTCATTTAGAAAGAAGAACTTCAGCCATTGTCTTTCCCCCAAAAACAGTGCTTCCCCTAAAATGGCAAAAATTCCACATTCCTGCAGCACCTAGCTTCACCCTATATGTAACCTTTAGGACAGAAAAATCCCAGATGAAATTCCCCTCCTTGGAATCCTGCCTCGGAAGATCCCAAACCCAGAAATTCTTGGCCTTCTAAAATACCTTCTGTGGTTATGTGCTTCAAGAGAGCCTCCAGGTGCTCTTTTTCAGAAGCAGTAGCCTGATGCAGCCAAGCCAACATGTCTCCCACATATCTAAAGGCAGAAAATGGATTCTATTAAAAATGAATCTTCCTTTTCATATTAATGCTGTACAATGTGCATTGCCACAAGTAATGTACCTCAAAGGATCGTGTGAATGCATTTCAATCGGTCGAGGTGTTCCTCCCGGACCTCCTCTAGTAAGAGCATCTATAAAGCCCCGGACCACAGCACTTCTTCTGGCTGTTCCAAACTCATCAAGAGTGTATCTACAATGAGGGAAAAAAATGCACTTACAAAGTTATGGACATTTTAGTTGCCCTCCTTAATGATCAAAGTGCCTTTATGCAAGATTACGCATAAAGTTCAACTGCCCAGATAATTTATCAACAGATGCCCAGCACAAATGTATTTTTAATGGCCACCAAATCATCATGTAAAAACTTTGTTGTCTTACTTCAGCAAGCAAACAGACTTGAAGAAAATTGATTTTTTTTCAGAAAATAAATATTTAGTCTGTTTCAACTATCATTTTCATTATGATCCAATTTAAGATGGCAAATTACAGAAATTACACAAACTAGAAAACATAGGCATTCAGGCAACTATCAAGCTGCCCGAAAACAAGTAAAATGATTTGTTTACTTGCTTTAAAGCAGTGGGTAATAAGCCCACTGGAACAGGTTGTAACTGTTATTTGTTCTAGCAATAGCCATTCGAAGAAGAAACATTTAAAAGAGCAAAGGATGATATAAAAAGAGAAAGACTTTTATACATTAATGTTTATATTAATAAACAACACAATTCCACTTTTACTTCCATATTAATTCCATAATTCCAACTGTAATTATATTTTAATTCAGCAGAAATCATCTATTGGAAAAAAACAAACCAGTCTATACTTTGATTCAATAGCAAAATACTAAGTCTTTAAAAATAGCACAAGTCCCTTAATCCTTTTCAATGACTGCATTGTATGCTGTATGTGAATATTGCCTGATGCTTTTTATTGTTCTTGCAAAATGGATGAGGAGAATCAAAGGAGAAGTGACTGCAGTTTTGGTGAGAAACTCATTATCACTTTCTACTCTTTGGAATCCCGAAAACCTTTACCTTTAATATTGGAATACATTCTAGTATTAAAAATGAAGTTTTTCATAAGAAGAAAATGTCAACCGGGAACAAAAGTTAAGGAATGTATCTGAGGGAAATTCACCTTCATTTCTAAGACGCCTAAGGAATATACACATCACTGTCAGTGAGGTATGTATTTTAGTGAGGTATATTGTATCAAGATAAGGCAGCTGTTGACATGGTCATGGTAGACATTCCAATATTGCCACCTTGTGGTAAATCTGAAATATATCTATATTCTTCTCACAAGATGTCAAAAAGAAAGACATCAATTGTGTCATTCGTAATATCTAAATAATAAGCAACACAGAGTACATCATTAAGACTTCTGGGCCGTTTCTATGAATGCCTTCGTTGTGACCTATAAGGATCCATAAAAAGTATCCCTAAAAGTAATGATACAAAGAGGAACCAAATAAAATAATTAGGAAGTAATCATATCAACCACATTTGGCTGTGAATTTGAATTGTAATGCAAATTACATTAATTATTCTTAACTTTTCCATTTCTGTTTTTGGGAATATCACTTTTGGTATGTCATCCACAGATAAAAAATCAGCTTCCAGAATATGTGTGTGTGTGGGGGGGGGGGGAAATGGCAGATTACCTGTATGAACAGGTAAGGCAGTGTTGTGTCAAATGCCAGTAGCCCAGCATTAAATCCAGAAGACTGCTCACTTGTGCTCCAAAAGGCTGCTCCTCACAAGGAAGCCCACAGGCTTCCTATGTCTGAGTCTGATTGCCAGGAGCCATGTGATAGACAGCCACAGGTCAGCGTACATGGGTTTGCACCCTCCACACTTTTTAAAAACACATTTGGAAGACAATTATCTTTTTAAGTTTGAAGTGTCTTTGGAGCAGCAGAGTAATCAAACTGCTCGGTGAATGTTCCTTGATCCTGGATTAAAGGTAAGAGCAAAGGAACAATCTAAAGGATTTAAAAGTAATTATAAATGAAAAGCTTGCCAAGAGTTTAAACCAGGGGTCTCCAACCTTGGCAACTTTAAGCCTGGAGGACTTCAACTCCAGGCTGGGGAATTCTGGGAGTTGAAGTCCGCCAGGCTTAAAGTTGCCAAGATTGGAGACCCCTGGTTTAAACTAAGAAAGTTTAAAACAAAGGGCAGTGTTGAATCTAGAATTATTGAACAAAGTATTTTTGAAACAATTAAACACTGAATATGTATTTCTCTTGAAAAGTGTTCTATTTGAATAGATCGGCTTTCCGAAACGAAAGATAAGGAAAAGTTGCTAGAGCCCATCTGACTAAAGAACTATGGAACATTGAATAGGACTAAAGGTTTAATGATCTGGTGCAGGGATGTCAAACTTGATTGCGTCGAGGGCCGGTTTATGACGCATTGTCATGTTTTTTGCCTTTATACAGAGCTAGGGTGGATGTGGTGGTCTGTATCTGGCCCGCGAGCCGCCAGTTTGACAGGCTTGATGTGGAGAAAGAGGGAGAAAAGAAAAAAGAAAAATGTCTTTACTTTTATCTCCCCTTTCTCAATTTAAATGCCTCCTACTAGAAAAGTAGTGAAACTTTCAGAGATGACAGAACAAGGTATTCCACTTGAGACATTCCAAAGGATCTTTGAGGAACTGGGAAACAACGTTACAGCTACAATAACACACAGCATCAGTAACTGCTTATATAACTGTATCATTTTAAAAGATATCCGAAAGAAGAGATGAAAAATAATTCTGAAGAATCTGTAGGACAGCTGAGTGGAGAAGTGAAACAAATTAAATTCAAGGTGAAATTTTTGGAAAATAAAGCAGAAATAAATGGCGAGAGAATACAAATATCAAGTCGAAAGTTGAAAAATAGGCAATGGACTATGACAGCATTTAGAAAATGCAGAATCTTGTCTGAGACCAGGGGTTCTTAGAGATCAACTTGAGGAAAACTGTAAAGAGAGCATTACTGAGGTCTAAAACGTTAGGATGAGAGGAAGAAGATGTAGAAGATCAGGTCCTATGACCTCTTAATATCAAGCTAAGGATTGAGAATGCCAGAATACCCACCTAAGGAAAAAAAAATCAAAAATCAAAACCAGCATAAGATAATAAGTGTTTTTATAAAATACTGGAAATCTTTTATGGATTTTCTGCTCAAAATGGATTAATGACTAAGTTAATGATTTGGATTTGCCATTAGAAAAGGGATGGATATGGAAAGAAGCGATCTATGCAATGTAATTTCAAAGGGGAGGAGTTAAGTTTGTTTGTAACTGCGCGAAAGAAGACTAGAAGTCACTTATTTAAATATCTTTCTATTTTTCTATTTCATGTACCGGTATTTTCTATTCAAGGAGCAAAAGTTTGAAGAAACTAGTCAAGTTATGCCTACTAATATCAAATATTTTACAAAATACATACAAACTCAAGTCTTTCCTCAATTTTAACAGGAAAGATAGTTTTCAACCTATGACCATTCATTCATTCAGCGATTGTTCGAAATTACAAGGGAATTGAACAAACAATGGTTACAACCAGTCCATGGATTTCTGGCTATCTCAGCATGTTCGCAGCCGTGCGATTGCAATTTGGCCACTTGTCAACAGATTCACAGTTGCAACTGGTTGCAGCACCTTGCAATCATGTGAGCTCCCTCTTGCAACCTTTCCAGATAGCTTCTCCCAAGAAAGTCAGTAGTGCAGGAAAGTTGCAAGTGTCTGGAATAAGTCCCCCCCAATTCTCACTGCACTTCCCTCATACCTCTTACATGCCCTCTTGCACACTCATACATTCTTCCCAACCTGTACCCCTCCAAAAAACCCATGCCTTTTATGTACCCCTTTTCACCCTTGTGCACCCAGCCCTGACCAAACCTCTTGCACAGCCCAACAGCCTCATGTACATTCCCAACATGGGCCTCTTGTGCAACCTCAAACATCATTTCTGATCTTCATCACTCACACTTGTCGTTTCCTTCCCTATCTGGCAGCAGCCACTACCATAGCTGCCAGTCTGGGGCTTGCAACTTGGGGCTGGCTTCCCCATTGGTGATTTGCCTTGAATCACTTTTCAAATCATTTGCCGGTGCTCTATGGCAAATTCATGCATATTCTCCATGGTAGCCCTTGTTTCTTATTCTGGAGTAATTCTGTCTACATCGGGGTATCAAACACACAGCCCATGGACCGCATGTGTCGCATGCTGGCCACGCCGACCCCCATTTTAGTGAAGAGGGGAAAAGCTGCGATACATCATGTGACAAGAGTTTGACACCCCTGGTCTAAATGGTCACTTAGAATTGACACCAACTTTATCACAAACAAATACATCCCACCATGCTCATATTAATTTTCTCCACATATTCATGCTGTGTGCTTAACCGAAGCAGAAACTTACTTATAGAGAACAGGCCTGTCTTGCAAAGCTTCCATTGCCTGAGCTAGAACTGGAGAAACATCACAGGTTTCTTGTGTTAAAGCCCTGCATTCACCTATAAACAAGCCAACAGTCTGATGTCAGTATTGGTAAGGATTCGACAACATTTCTCTCTTCATTTAATTGATAACACTGAATACTAAAGAAAAGATTACGTTTTTATAGTGCCCTTTCTTACAAACCACGGTCTAAATTCAGCTGCCCTGATGAAGTCTAGTTAGATACAGCGGTATTTGCCACTCTGGCAAAAGCCTTCTGTATATATAGGAGTAGTTGTTTACCCTTCCTGTAAGTACTTATTATGGGAAACACAACGACAGCCACAAAGTAGCTGTGGAAAACACCATGGCTATTTAAAACAAGCAAGGCGGGGATGCAGACATTTTCTGTCTAAAAACAGACAACAAAATCAGACTTTTTAGGGAAAGACAATGGCAGTGGTTGTTCATGTCTAGAAGACAGAGAGGAAGAGCACGTGCAAATTGCCTTCAAGCTGTAAAGCAACAGTAACAAACCATCAATATAAAAAAGACCAATTATAGGATGGGAGAACTACATGACTGAGAAAGCAGACATGTAAGAACTACATGGCTAATAAACCAGCTTTAAATTCTACTGTTGTTTAAAAACAAGGAAATTATCCGTGACTATCAAAATATTATCTTCTTTAAAGAAGCCCCAGTGATGCAGTGGTTAGAATGCAGTATTGCACACTAATGCTGTCCAGAGTCTGGAATTCGATCCTGACTGGCTCAGCCTTCCATCCTTCTGTAAAATGAGGACCCAGATTTTGGGGGGCAATATGTTGACATTGTAGACTGTTCAGAGAGTGCTGTAAAGCGCTATGAACTGGTATATGTCTAAATGTGATTGCTATCTTCTTTAAATATAGGCTTCTAAACTTTGATTAACTCTGAAACATAGGTAGATTATTAGCTACAGAAAAGTAGCTTTTGAGAGTCCTAAAAAGTTTTCAGATTATAATAGTATTATGGTGGCACCAGCATATACTTGGAGCAAGTGGGAACCAATTTGCCAGAAACTGCCTTAACATGCAATCTTATACATTTTAAAAGAAAATATACTATTCAGATTGCTCTAATTGAGCATACAGTAGCTACATTTACTCATGCTATACAGACTTCTAAAAGCCACCTATTTCCATCTACAAGAAATAATATTTTAATGAAAAAAAAATCAAAATAACTGCAATACCTTGTGTCCAACGATAAAGCTGTTCATAAGAAGACTCCTGGAGGAGTGCCATCTGTTCCATAATCTCCAGGCTGCAGATTTAACATGTTTGAGTCTTAACCAAAAAGTGAATCATAGAAGCAAGAACATCTAAACCCATATGGCTTTATACTTGTCTTCGTGTTTTTATTTTCCAATATAAATCTCAATATGCTAATAACTCAATTTATGAGGTTTTACTTAGTTGATGGTTCCAGTTGCTTTATACAGTGTGAACTCACCCTGATCTTTGTTGACTGGTGCGCAGAAGAATCTTGACATCATTGTGAATTTGCTTTATTCGTCTCAAAACTTTAAAAAATTTCTTTAACAAAAAAAGTTCAAAATTAAGAGCCGTTACTCAAACTAACTTTGTTTACATAGCTATTGTACATTCAAATAATCATACTGCAGCACACTTGGTACTTGTATTGGAACTATAACCTTCAGAATTCATCCCCAGCTGGCTTGAAATTTGGCGACTGCTGTTTCATGTTTGCAGTATAGCGTTTAAAATTCAAAACAGAGTATTACAAATTCAGATGGGTTTAAACTTGAAAGTTTTTGTACATTTATAACAGAGAGAGGCAGCTTCATACACAAAGGGTCTGAACTAGGTTTAATGTTTTTACTTTTGATGGTGATAAAAATATTGGTTTTGTTCCCTTTTTTAAATAGTGGTGGCTATATATATATTTATATTGTCTAAGAGAAGAAATAAAGAACAATAAAAAGTGCTTTAACAAAAAAAGTAAAAGAAATACTACAAAGAGAAAATTATTACATCGGTATGTCAATATAACAGTTACAATTCTACATATGCTTGCTAATGCAAATATTCAACTATGTAAATGTTTCCAATACATTTATATGACTACTTTTTAAAAAAATTATATTTGGTATAAGAGAGTCCCATATTTCACTATAATTGTCTATACAAATTCTGTGTGTGTTCTTCAAAGGCGAGAGGCTATAAGGAAGACACCATCTCATTATATACTGAATGACTATGAACTCAGAACTGTCCTTCAAAAACATACAATTTAGAAACCAAAGCAAATTGACTTCACCCATTCCAGACGTGTTCAGTGTTGTATTCCAAACAGGCTACAGAGTTTTGTAGTTTGAAATAAGGATTGTTGTACAGCATACTTCCTTTGTGCTGTATTATTTGCTACTGTGGCTAAAAGTTAAGCATACCATAGCATTTTACTGCTGTTTGTTAGGGAGAACAGATTCCCTTTGTTTCGATAACAGCCTCTGTTCGAAGCTGGTTATTTTATTAGATACAACAGATTAGCAACAGGAAGGCACAATAAGGCACAATATCACCCAGGTGAGCACAGCAGGCAATTACAACCTAAACAATTATTTCCAAGGATACAGCTAAACAGTATTATGTAGTATTAAGCTATTTTCACCACTTCCACGGTGGACATTGCGAATTTCAGTCACAGACCTTCACGAATGATTATAATCAATTATGTTATGAACATTTCCTAACTACTCCCATCTTTGGACTAAAAGTAAAAGTTCCCCTTACACATAATGTGCTAGTTGTTTCCAGCTCTAGGGGGCGGTACTCATCTCCATTACAAAGCCGAAGAACCAGCGCTGTCCGAAGACGTCTCTGTGGTCATGTGGCTGGCATGACTAAACACCGAAGGCACACAGAATGCTGTTACCTTCCTACCACAGTGGTCCCTATTTTTCTACTTGTATTTTTTACATGCTTTCAAACTGCTATGTTGGGACAAGTAACGGGAGCTCACTCCATTACGCGGTGCTAGGGATTTGAACCGCTGAACTTTCTGATCGACAAGTCACTGAGCCACCATGTCCCTTATCTTTAATTAATTAATTAATTAATCCCTTATCTATAATCTTTGGATTACAGAAGATTATTTTATGTAGTCTCTTCCAGCCAGAATCTTTGCAAAGGATAGAATTCTTTTCTAAAAACTCCACCCTTATATGGAAAGTTTTACTGCAAGTAGCACAATTATTCATATTATCCAAAGAGAAAACGATGATCAGAAAAGGAAGTCTGTTTATTCAATATGTTAAAGAAGGTTATTGTATATATTTTAGGATGCTTACTTCAGTAACTAGCCCATCTCTGGTGCTTCGCAGGACGTCCATCTCCTCTGGAGAAAGTTGGAATTCTGCTATGAAAGCATCTGCTATTTGTGCTTTTAATTCTAACCTTTGGCTATAATAAAAAAAATTAATTCAGTTCATGACTATTATAATTTGTTTCGCATAAGCTTAAGATGTGGCAGCCATTCAAGCAGAAAAGTCTTAGAGGGTGCACTTTCACCTCCAGAACAGGAAGAAAAAAAGAGATGGACATAAGGGGAAATAGGAGGTTAAAGGTAGTGTTTGACTCGCAACCCAGACTGAGTCCAGAATTTTGGTTGCCGAGCGACGGTTGTTAAGTGAGATGCAAATCTAACAGTACTATTTGCAGTGGTTAAGTGATCCCAGGTTGTTGAGCAGAATCCCAGATAAAGAACATGCAGTGCCTGGGACAGGGCCGGGGGTGGGGTGGGGTGGTGGGAGGCCCGGCTTCTCGTTTTTACCTTCGGAAGGAGAGACACTTTCACGTGGCCCGTGCCAGGCCTCACCCGGCTTCCCCCCAAGGCACACTGCCCTGCTTACTTATGCAGCCTCTATCTATCATGCTGCCTTTATGGAAAGGAACTTCTTCAAGGACTCCTTCAGAAAGAGAACTCATCAGAATCTGAGCTTGATTCCTCCCTCCTTTGGGCACAGAAGGGAATTTCTCCCAAGGGGTGCAGAAAGAGAAATTCAACGCATCAGGGTCCGAGCTCCATCTTTGCACCCCATGAAAGTGGGTCATCTCTCCTCTGGGCTTGGAAGAGAACTCTTCCAAGGGTTCAGAAATGGAGTTCAAATCATCAGGATCTGAGGTCAAGTGATGGCTGCTATTTTCGAAAGTGTTTTAGCATAAAGTGTTCAGAATTTTTTTGACTTTTTTTCATTCGTAATTAGCTCTATTGCTTTTGCTTCAGTCATGTTAGTCAAAGGAGTTTTATCTCTTCTTGTTTCCTCCCTTGCCAGACCCAGCCTGGAATGCTTATCTCTAAAAAGTGATGTTAACCTGCCAGCTATTGCAATTTGTTGCTTTGCTCGTGACCTTGTGGTCGGCCAGGCTCGTTCTTCATTATTCCTGTCTGTTATAACTTGAGGCAGCTCTGCCGAGTTCCTCTGTATTTGGACAGGCCTGGCTGTGCCTTCAGAGGATGAGTCCACATGCCCAGGTGTAGGGGGGGGTGCCATCAACCCCTGCTCCCCGATGGGAAGTGGTCTCTGCTCCTCCTGCAGGGTCTTTCCTGGTGTCTCAATGCTTGGTAGGCCGGTGGTAGTTCGATATGCCTATTGATAGAATTGCTGTTGGAAAACCAGGCTTCTTTTCGTAGACGTCCTCCTTTAGTTATATCACGTGCAACAACCTCAGTTTCTTGAAAACTGAATGTGTGATTACGCTCCTGTATATGTGCCCAGATCTGAGACCGCTGTTCTTTGCACTGGACAGCCAGTTCATGTTTCTGTACTCTGGTCTGTAGCCGCTTCCGCTATGTAATTGCTTGCACAGTCACTACAGTTGATGCGGTAAACCACCGAAGATGTCTCCTCCTTTGACTAACATGACTGAAGCAAAAACAACAGAGTTAATTACGGGTGAGAGGCGGTTGGAAGAACCTATTACACATTATATATATACATACATACATATATACATATATATTGTGTAGCATTCTTATATAGCAGTGTGTGTGTGTGTGTCTGTTTGTCTATCTGTCTATCTTAAAACAGCACATGTGATCAATGAGGACAGACTCCATGAACTAACAGGAGAAAGCAGCTGATTAATAAACTGAATGTCTGGAAAAACTTGCCAGTTTGTGATTTTCAACCATCCCTAAATTTATATTTAATTACTTGGTACAAAAAATCCACAAATTTTGAAACACCCATGACAAGGATTTACTACTTACATACTTGTACTGAAAAGTGCAAGAGCCATTTTATTGGAAGGGTCAGGCCCAATAAATGGGGGGACTTTGCATCAGAACATATATAACAGAATAGAATGGAATTCCCAGAAGGGCCTGTTTGAAATTTGGACTGTGGCCTTTCAGTTGAATATTAGATTATTTTTATTCTTCCTACATACAATAACACTGCTGTAAATCACATTTTATATCATTGCATACCTGCTGGCTTGTATTTTGGTTTTATTCCAGAACTGCTTTTATGCCAGCTTTAGGTTTTAGAATTTAATGGCTTTATATTTTATTGATTTTTCTCTATTCTGTGAAATATCTACAAAGATTCATCTTCTGTGAAATTTAGAAATGCAGTTACTAAATGAAGCTTTGAAACCATTTTATTTCCTTCTCATGACATCCATTTTTAAACCTATCGGTATTGCCTAAATTTAGAGATAAAAGCAGAGCTAGTAGATGTTCAGGATGCAATAACCTCTTATATCATATCACATAGTGGAAATTATTTCTCTAGAAACTAACTGAGAGAAGGCTGCACCCAATATAGCAACATAAAGTAGTCCTAAGGAGATTATTATTCAGAATAAAAATGAATGATGGAATCCACAAAACCATTCTTATTTATCTTAAGGGGAAAACATTTACCTCTCTGCTTGAAGCTTTGTTGTTTTGACAATTAAATCCTGAGTTTGCTCCTTAGTTGCCTGGAAGACATATATGAATGATTAAAATGAATTGCTGTTAAGGACATAGTTTTACTTTTAAATATATATTACTTAAATATGGTAAGAATGAATAGAAGAGCAATTTAAAAAGTCTAAAAAATTCTTGTTTCCTCTCACTGACTGGGACACAGGGTGACCCTTTTAAAAAAGATTGCACATACATTGGTTTCTTAACATTTGAACTGGGAATGAGTTCAATATTGCCAGGCTAAAGAGAGGACTAATCTGGGACAGACTCAGGTACGTTATAGATCTGTTTCAAAAAAAATCTTCAATATTTTGTTTCATGCAACTATTTTAGCACCTGAACAGTCTTTACAGTCACATTACAAACATTCTGTATAATGTGTTGCTTGAAAGTAACATTTCCAGAGGGGGGAAAAAGTGCAAATTCCCTATCATATGCACAATACCTTCAAGTGATTAGTCATATCCTGGCAGCAATTGCTCATTAACTGCACATCTTCACTGATGTTTTCAAGCTCCTGAAATTGCATGGAAATACACATAACATTACAAATATACATTATAACAGATGGCCTAAAGTATTTATTTATTAAATGTATGTGCTGCCCTTTTCGCAATTTGAGGCAACTCTAGGTGGCTTACAACATAATAAAACAAAGAGATATAAAAAATATATAAATATAAAAACAAAACATTAAATACAGATTAAAAGATCACACGTTTGGGACAGAATAGCAGGGATGCCTTCTTTGTCTCTGCCTACAGCTTCTTCAACAGAACCTCATGCCAAAAAAAACTAGGTTTTAGAAAAAATACAATTAATACATTTGTTTAAATCAATAAATGAAAAGATCAGTTATTATTTTGGATTCAACTCAGTATTAATTTAAGTGAATCAACTATTTCTCTCAATAAATCCAAGATTACTTCTGTTAGCAGAATTGAAAAGTTTCCCTTGCCATCTAAAGTCCTTGAAACTTGCTGCAGAAAATTGGGAACCTGCCAAACAAGTGGGAGAAATTATGAGAGAAAAAATGATGTGTGTCCTATTCAAGAAAAGAGTTCCTGCTCAAACATAATTTCAAGTTATGCCTTTTTTATTTGATCATATGAATAAATTTGTCAAATAATATATACACTGAAAATATTAAATTATGTATAAGAAAAACAGTAGATTTATATAACAACCTGCAGCACAGCACCTACCAGAGGAGCTTATCTTAAGAATGATTCTTTTTAGTAAGTTTCATGATACTTTTCTATACCTCTTTCACTTGTTTGAAAATGTGGACAAATTCTTCATTGATAGCTAAACTACGATGCTCAATATCTCCACGCAGATTTCTTCTGGTACGCAAGCTGTTTTCCACAAAAAACTCTGAAAGAGTCTTGAGAGCTTCTAACATTTCCTACAAAAATATGCAATAAAGATAATATTGACAATTCAGACATTAAAAGTACCCTTAAGAGATATGCAGTTCTAGGTTTTCAGTCACCATATTTGTTCATGTTAAATGTGCAAAATATTTAATATAAATATAAAATACACACTTTATGCCATGTTCAATTGCTTCTAAGCATAGACTAAAGTATACGGTATAGTATAGTGTAGTATATGCTGCATAATATATAGGGTACAGTATTAATATAGTTTGGCTTTTTAACGCATCTTAAGAGCATCTTGTGGGAATTATATTTGCCATGGTAGCAATTTTTTACCACTTCAAACATGGCTCTTAACCAGCCACAAACAAAAAAAGCAGGTATGGCAGAAATCTATAGTAGGCACTGAGGCAACATCTGCAGGCCTTCTGGGGAACCTCTGATGTAGAGAACAGCTTTAGTGCAATTCAAGGGTCAGACAATAGCATCCATTCCTTTCTCCTTCAAAAGAAGCACTTAGAAGCACACAAAGAGTACACAGAGAATTGTCCTGAGGGCAGGAGAAGCAGCAATGGATGGAAACTAATTAAGGAGAGAAGCAATCTAAGAACTAAGGAGAAATTTCCTGAGAGTCAGAACAACTAATCAGTGGAACAACTTGCCTCCAGAAGTTGTGAATGCTCCAACACAGGAAATTTTAAAGAAGAGATTGGACAACCATTTGTCTGAAATGGTAAAGAGTTTCCTGCCTAAGCAAGGGATTGTACTGGAAGATGTCCAAGATCCCTTCCAACTCTGTTATTCTCTTATTATGATACAAATATCAAAGGACAATTTCATAACCTAAAACCTGCTCTCCCATACAGGTCTCTCTTGCTAAGAAATCATATGCATCACAAGTTCTGTGATTTCACAATGCAGTTTGTACTTACACATGTGAGCTATGATTAAATAATAGATCAGTAATCTGTTGCTATAAATACTGTGTGTATGCTTCACATCTAACTCTGGTAGCATAGCAGCATCACTAAGTCTGTGAGCATGAAATAGACCAGCAATTGGAAATATTTTTGTGACTGTGCATACTAATTGAGAAGATCCATGCCTCACAAAATACAGCTTTTTGTACATCTTTTATGAAGCAGATTCAAGGCTGATAATGCCGCCTGTTTTTAGAGAGGTGAGTTTCTTTCATAAAGTATCTGTATACATTTAAGAATACATAAAGATCTTCCTTCTTCATATTTTTGCATTAATTGACAGATGTTAAACTTGAGGGTGGATTTTTTTGGTCAGTATTAAGGGGAAAAATCAATTATTCTATAACGCATGTAATAAGATGACTATACATATTATGAGGATATTCGTGTCTTAAATGCATGCTTTTGGCCCTACAGTAATCCCAAGGAACTTTTCTCACTGTAATCTGTTGCCACAGTTATCAACTGTGATTATAAACTATGAGTGTCTATGTTAACCCTCCCAATCCATACAGCATGCCTTAAATCCATAATTTTGTCACTCAAAAAACACTGTGCTACAGATTTTATAACAATCATTAACATAAACTTTAATCTAATACAGCACCACAGAATTTACATATAAAAACTTTAGGATCTGTTAAGAATTTGTGCCTTGGATTTATCAAAACAACCCCATAAAACAGGCAGTCCATTTTTGTTATACTGTATACATATCACAGAGGAGTGGAAGATAGATTTAATTCGTATCTATCTGTCTGAATTATTCAACTATTTTTGGAGACCAATATGTAGCAGGGATTCTGTGATGTTCAATGTGATGCAAGTTACAAGTTATGACAATTGAGGGCAAGATTTCTGTTGCTAAGTGGGACATTTGCTAAGTGAGTTTTGCCCCATTTTCCAACCGTTCTTGTCACAGTTAAGTGAATCACTGCAGCTGTTAAGTTAGTAACATGGTTATTAAGTGAATCTGGCTTCCACATTAACTTTGCTTGTCAGAAGGTCACAAACCGGGATCACATGATCCTGAGACACTGCAATCATCATAAATATGAGTCAGTTGCTATGTAGCTGAATTTGGATCATGTGACCATGGGGGTTTCTGCAATGATTTAGTATGAAAATGGTCATACATTTTTTTTAGTGGTTGTAATTTCAAACAATCACTAATTGAACTGTTGTAAGTCAATACCTATATAATACTCCTTCTTCCTCCTATTTTCCCACAATAACAACTCTGCGGCTTGGGCTGAGAGAGAGTGACTGGTTCAAGGAAACCAGCTGGCTTTCATGGCTAAGGCAGAACTAGAATGCATAGTCTCCAAATTTCTAGCTGTTTACCTCAACCACTAAACCGAATAACCACATTTGTTGAAATTTTTTTGGGATCGTTCTTTAGGCTACAGCTGATATGGCTGTTAGGTGAGGAAGTAAGATAGATATTTGTAGGATGTTCTAAAACTTTTTAAAAGTATGCCAAACTTTCTAGAGATATAACATACAGATTTAGCTTCTTTAATTCTTTCTCGCCCAACTCAAAAAGCACATATCCATATTTCAGCATTGTAATACTGAATTTTGTAGTGTAAACTCAGAAGAGATGCTCTAAGGAAGGCAAACATCGATCTGGGGACTGTATAGTCCATAGGCCACAGACTGCCCATGGTTCAGCAAGCAAGAATCTCAGTTTTACTTTAATATAATAATCAGACCATCTCATACATTATATTATGGCTAATAATCCTGCGTATTGCATTTAACTCCATAATACATTTCACACTGGTCCTGAGAAAAGCACTTGACAAACCATCTTCAGAACATGCTTTTAAGAACGGATTGCTTACCTGTACAGTTCACTCTCCCACCACACAATGCCGTATAATTAAACTGCAGCTATGCCATGAACAAATTCACAAGTTTTAGATAATCCCTCTGGGATTCAATTCTCAGATCTAATCCTTTCAGAAAATGGGAACAGGGCATTTCAGTAACAATTTCAGGGTGTCAAATAACACAGGAGTGGGAGAGGTAACTCATAGCTCCATCGTGGGTTTTTGAGATGAAAAATCTTACCTTCCTATCTTCATCCAGGTTAAATCACAGGGAATCCTTGGCCAACTAGTTAGTCCCTTTCCAGGGTATTCAGTTACAGCACCCATCCTGCCCTGCAGCAGAACAGTCGCTGGGGAGGATGGAAGCTCAATATAGCCGGCTAGGGGCTGTTTTCTGTCCTCTCGTCTTCTACCCGGGACAGAACCGGCCTTATTTTTCAGAAAGTTGGAAGGAAAGGGAGAAAAAACGGAGGCGACCAAATCAACCCGACTTACTTTGTCCGCCTCCAATCGTGTCTCCAGCACTTTGCGGAGCTTCCGTGACAGCGGGTTGGCCCCGGCCCCGCCGAGCGGCCCCTGAGACGAACCCCCCGTCGTCGGGGTAGCCGAAGCAGCAGTCACAGCCGTAAATGGACGCGGCGGCAGGTGTTCTTCGGATACCGCTGCCATTTTCGTGCCGAAACTGCCTTGGTGGCGAAGGCAGCGCAGGGACCCGGACAAAGTGCGTCGGCTCACAGATTCCCTTCTCTCCTCTGCCCGAGAAGTGTAGTTCCGCCTATTTTCGTTCTCCCCGCCCCTCTCTCTCTCTCTCTCTCGGCTCTGAAAGCCTTTGTCTCTGCGAGTCCGGCAGATGCCGACTCGGCGCCTTGTAGGAGTCAGAGGGTGGCTTTGCTTTTTCGCGATTACGACAAATAATAGGCAGTTCCTGCTCCTAGCTTTCATCGTAATAACGAATTGTTACAGTAATAGGGATCTTGCATCCAGGAGATACAAGTAGTCCTCAAATTTCAACGGTTCATTTAGTTTGAAGTTACAAGGGAAAAAAATGACTGATGACCATTTTTCACACTTATGACCATTGCAACATTCCCCATGGTCACATATATTTTACGCTCAGATGCTTGACAATTGACACGTATTTATTATGGTTGCAGTGTCCTGAGGTCATGTTGTGATTTACTGACCAGCAGTCAATGGAGAAGCCAGATTCACTTAACAACCAGGTTACTGATTTAAAAACTGCAGTGGTTCATTTAAGAAATGCAACAAGAAAACGTAAATCACAGAACCGGTCAGATCCCACCCCTGGGCAATGCCCACCATAACTACCTGTGGGCTGTTTTGCTCTCAAAATTGTAAATATATGAAATAGTGGAGTAAAAAATTGCCTACCTTAATTAATCTTTCAGTCATTTTCACAATTCTGGGAGTGCTTACATATATACTCAGGAATTTTTGTGAACTCTGATGCTCATTAAACTCATTCTTACTAGTTTAGTCACCCCAAGGGTCGGTTTCTGGCAACCATTTATTAAAACATTCAGCTGAGATAAAGAGCAAGGAAGCAATGTCATTCTGCAAATGCCTTTTACATGTTTTACATTTTTGGGTGCTAAGGATGATATCTAAAACTTTGATGACTAGAGTAGATGACTTATTTGATTCTCCAACATTGTGAATTCTATCATGCCAAAACTAGATGCTTGACAAGAACGGGAGATAAAATGCAACAGAGATCTTATAAATATGGGCAGATAAGTAATTGGGAACTAAAGAGATACGTACTGTTGGATCTGAGAGACTTCTCAGCTGCATTCAATATACCAATGTTAATTTGCTCCTGGAGTTCTCTCTGAAAAACTCCCAGCAGGATTGGTGCTTAGCAGTGGAATGATGATCTATAGGATTTCTTGGGGCTTCACTGTCCCCTGTTCCTCATCTCAGCAGATAGAATACTGAACATGAAACTGATGTGCTTGTGATCTTTCTCCTCAGTACCTGACAGGCTTTCTCAACCCAAGTTCTTTTATTGATTCATTTTCAGACATACATAAAATAAAATTACCATAATAAAAGAAAAAACTTTAAATAATAATAAATTTGAAACTCACACAAAAACTATAATTACAGCTATACCCCAGGTTCACCTGATTTTGCAAATCTTTAAAATCTTTTTTGCCAGTAATGAATATGAATATTCCGAAGGAAGAGATAATGTGACATTTCCTGATTAACCAAATATATAATTTTCTCAAAAATTGCTAAATCATACATCTCTGAAATCTAGTCTTTCATACCTTGAATTATAATATCTTCTCATCTAAGGATTATACTTTTTGCTATTGTTAAAACATGAAAACCCTCCTTTGTTCTGAACATTTTAAATTCTAAGTAATTGGTGAATAAATGAGTACAATATAGGCATCTTTAAAAACTAGGATTTTCTCAATAATTCCATCAATATAATGGGTAACATTACTCCGAAAAGGGCATAACCAAAAATATAACCATAACGTATGATTAAAGTGTCCTCAAATTTCTTGCAATACCAATACAAATAATCATTTGTTAATCTTTTATAAAACATTCTAGATCAGTGTTTCTCAATCTTGGCAATATAAAGATCTATGGACTTCAATTCCCAGAATTCCCCAACCAGCATAGCCATCCATTAAGTGGTCATTAAGTGCGTGGCTGTAGAAATTGAATAACAGAATGAATAAATAAACATGCTGGCTGAAGAATTCTGGGAGTTGCAGTTCACAGGTTTTCAAGTTGCCAAGGTTGAGAAGCACTAGTCTAGATGGTGTCCAATACATATGAAAGCCATTTTATTGATGAATGAATTTTATTTTAAATCACAGGACAAGTCTCATGTACCTACGTGAACCTCATTATGATTATTAGGCAATAAAAATTACGTACTGGGACAATCTGGAAGCACAGTAAAACTACAGGTATTCTGATAGAGAATATCAAGGCTGCTAAAGTTCATCACATGTTCATCTTCTGATAAATGTTGTTTCGTGACTGGCTATATCCATCAAAATAGCATGATATGAATTGGCTTAGAACAGGGGTCTGCAACCTTAAACACTCAAAGAGCCATTTGGACCAGTTTCCCACAGAAAACAACGAAGCTAATAATTTAACAACCTGTGTGACAGGGTGGGTGTGGCCAACTTGACCTCAGTAAACTCCCACCCAGTCACCTTCTGCTCTGGAATATGGAGTGAGTCTCCATCCCCCACCATCACCCTTAACTTCTCAGGCCAGGTGAGGAGTGATGGGGAGGGGAGGGACCAGCCAGTGGTGGGATCGGCCAAAAGGGAGTTGCAGCAGAGGGCTGAAAGAGCCGCATGTAGCTCCAGAGCCACAGGTTGCAGACCCCTGGGCTAGAAGAAGTGATGTGATTAGATTAGATTAGATTAGAGCAGAGGCTTTTCAATGTCTTCAGGGTATGGAACCTCTAGGTTGTTGTGTTTTTTTTAAATGAATCCGTGATCAAAAAGCATAGCTCTGGTGACAGAAGATTTATTGTGTTGGGAGTCTCCCATGGAACCCCAGCAGGTCCTTATACAGGTAGTCCTCGACTTACAACAGTTCATTTAGTGACCGCTCAAAGTTACAACAGGACTGAAAAAAATAACGTGATCAAATTCAGATGCTTGGCTACTGGCTCATATTTGTGACAGTTGCAGTATCTTATGCGATCCCTTTTGCGACCTTTTGACAAGCAAAGTCAAGGAGGATGTCAGATTCACTTAACAACCGTGTTACTGCAGTGATTCACTTAGCAACTATAGCAAGAAAGGTCATAAAATGGGGCAAAACTCGCTGAACAAATGTCTTGCTTAACAACATCAATTTTGGGCTCAGTTATGGTCAGAAGTCGAGGACTGTCTATAGTGTTCTAGGGATCTGTAGAAGACAGTTTGAAAAATTCTGATCTAGACTTTTTGGAAATGGCTCTCAACATCGTGCTGATGTTACCCAGCTGCATTTCAGACCCTTGAAGTTCTGAAATGTTAATGACATATGATGCGATTAATAAGTTGAGGATCAGTCTATACAAGAGACCTCTGGCTTTTGGGGAAGATTGATTCAAAGAATAAAACCCGAGAAATGTCTTTTTCAGTTTATTTAATTACCAACATTCAAAAGGTACTAGCTCATGGGGTATCAAACTCGATTTCAATGAGGGCCGCATCAGGGTTGCGTTTGATCTTGGGGAGCTAGGAGTGGTCACCTGGGGGCGTGGCCAGGGTGGGCATGGCCAGCTCAACGGTTCACTCGTCGAGGCTCCATTTTCTACCGTGATGCTGCAGCCCTCTGCCAATGAAAAGTGAGCGCACAACCTCCCTGGGCCTCCATTTTTACTGTCAGAGGGCTGCAGGAGACCGTTGTGGCCAAAAACGGAGCCTGGGTGGGCCTTGGGAGGCCTCCCTGAGCTCCATTTTTGCTGGAAGAGGCACCATGGGCCAGTCCTTTGCTGTTTCCAGGGTGGCCCCACGAGCCAGATCTAAGCATCCTGCAGGCTGGATCCAGCCCCTGGGCCTTGACTTTGACACCCCTGTACTACATGAAGAAAGATAGTGGGAAGCCGTTCCCTGAAATTATATTCAACAACTGCCTTCTGAGCTTGCAATACTCTTATCTTCATTGAGTTGGGAGCCCCTGCCAAGTTCTGTCTGAGCTCAGAGACAGATGTGGCAGAAGACAAAATAAAAGTACAAACTGTTTTAGCATCATGAGAGAGGAAGCCAAATCTACCCACGGTATAGTCCTCAATTGTGAATTTCCCCAACTACATGAAATTTCATCGGGACCTCTGCAGTTGCCTGGTAGATAATGCTTGATGTGCCAGTAAAGTATAGTCTTCAAAAGGTTTTGTTTCAAGTGCTCCATCTGCCATCTATTTAGCCTCTTTCCTTTCTCTCTGCACAGTCTAATTATAGGATTGGGATTTATATTTGGAATGTAGAACAATTCTTTCAGATGTATGCATCCACATTCAGTCTGATTTCTCAGAGTTCTTAAGAAATATTCCATCTGAATTGCCTGCCTCCCCCCCTCAACTGCCTCTGCCTCTGTCTGCTTCTTGCACAGGTACTCAACTCACCTGTGCTGTGTGGGCTGTGGCTGCTGTGAGACACCATTGGCCCGCATGTACTCACTGCCTTCAATGTTGGCCATGCCCAACCCCGCTTCACTGGGGCTTACTTTTGGGGGAGGGCTTATATTAGGTGCAGGCATGAAACCCCAAGTTGGGGCTTATTTTCAGGGTAGGTCGTATTTTGGGGGAAATACGGTAATAATAAAAACAATAAATAGGTTTAATGAATAAATTGAGAGTTCAGTCCTAGGTAGCAGCAAATTTTTCTTTCTTAGAGCTCAAAGAAAAAAACATCTGCCGTGAACTCTGTGTGACATCAGGAAGGGCATCAGGCTGGCAAACGCTCAGTTCCATCCAGTTGACCCGACTTTACCTTGAGTTAAAGGATTACAGGGTTATAAAAAGGGAGTTTTTAAAATGATCCCTATATAAAATAAATCAAATTTAGCTCCCCCCATCTTTACTACAATTATTTTTTCAGAAAGTACTGGAGTCCTTAGCATTCAAAGGCCACATTTGGCCCCGAAAAAGTTGTGCTTATGAAGATGTTGGAAATCATGGTGGCACAGACATTCAAGAGGACGTATAATGTTACAAGGGCAAACCATAACTTAATGCTTGCACTTATTTTTGAATTTGAAGACAGAATTACATAGATGTGCATATCAAATTTCTTAAAAATTTACTTAAAAATGTACATGTGAAATGCAAATTGGACATGTTAAAACCAAGACCATCTTGTTTTCTATCAATATTACTTGATTTCTGAGAGAAAATAAACTATGATTCTGGGGGGGAAACCCAATTAATCTAAATCAGATTTAGATGCCTACTAAATGAGATGTAAAGTTGTTCAAAGTAGTGCCAACTCTTGTGCCAAATTTGAGATATATTTTAACCTGAAAAAGCAGGTCAGATAATAAAAACCATTTTTACTGGAATCCTTAAATACATAACAGGCAATACCGTAGTAGGCAATTCTCTATATTGACTTTTTAAGAAAAATAATATGCTGAAAACGATAAGTGTATTAATATTAACATATTGAAAGTCATGCTCATAAATTCAGTCATTTTTTAGCTGTCTAAATATAAGGGATCCTTGTTGCTCTCTCAGCTTGGTTGTTTTCTTGCAGATGTTTCATTACCCAAACTAGGTAACATCATCAATGCTAGTACAGATGATGTTACCAAGTCTGGATAATGAAATATCTGCCAAAAAAAAAAAAAACCCAGCCAAGTTCAGAGAACACCAAGAACCCTTCATTTCAACCCTGAGCTACAAATATTCTCCTATATTGTCTAAAAATAATTGATTCAATGTCAGATTTAATTTAGATGGATTTCCATCCATTAATTTATGATTAAATTATAACTTCAAAAGCTGTAGGTGCTTCATCACGGGAGGTTTTTAAGAAGAGATTGGACAGCCACCTATCTGAAATGATATAGGGCAGGGGTATCAAATTCAGGGGTGCTTAAGATCCGGTCTGTGGGGCCGATGTGGAAATAGCAAGGGATTGGCCCGTGGTGCCTCTGCTAGCAAAAATGGGGCACGGGCAGGGGGCACAGAACCCCTACAACCACTTTTGACCTCCGGAGTCCTCTGGAGGCCTTCCAGGCCCAAAACGGAGCCTCTGGAGTCCTCCAGGAGGCTTTCCAGGGCCAAAACAAGGCCTTCGACTCAGAAGGTTATAAAAGGGAGGAAAAGTAAAATCTTTTGCCTTCCAGGCTTGCAGGATTCTGCTACTGTAGCCTATGTCAATAATTTTGTAGTTCTAGTCTTCCTATGGAGTCAGTTTCTTGATCTGGTCTCTCATAAAGGTGATCAAAGAAAATCACAGAAATGTAGGCCTCCCTATTTTTAGAAGTCTATGAAACCATGTCTGAGGAGGTGCAGTCCCACGTCACACCCAGCACGTCCACGCGCCCACCGGCCCTCCAAGATCAAACCCAATCCTGATGTGGCCCTTAATGAAATCGAGTTTGACACCCCTGGTATAGGGCCTCCCGCTTGAGCAAGGAGTTGGACTAGAAGACCTCCAAAGTCCCTTCCAACTCTGTTATTCTCTTATTATGCTAAAAGGCAGTTTCCTAACTTAAAACCTGCTCTCTTATATAGATCTCTCCTAAGAAAGCTCTATTCTGATCGATGGATGATTGATTGAATGTATGTATGAACTGCATTTCTGAAACTATAAAAGGGAAGGGTTAATTGCTCATCCTATTCTTTAAGAAACTGAAGAACCCAGAGATTCCCAGGGAGCCCACCCACCCACCCCCCTATCCGCCAGACAAATAAATCAATATTTCCAGGGATCTGGGGCGCTCAGCACTGCCTTTACTCCTTCAGACATTTCACGCGCTTAATGGGAAGAGCAATGTGACACTACCCTATTCCCTCGGCTCTTCAAAAAAAAGTGAGATTCGCACAGGTCGGGCCGGGCTGTTTTCACACCTGTGTCGTCCCCCCGACCCCCACCCCCACCCCCCTCCGTCCCCGCTCAGTCTTCTGCGCGGTCCTCCCTCCTCTCACTCCCCCC